TATTAAGATAAGAATTCAATTTCAATATTTATTATTAGCATAACTTACGGTAATATTAGCAGCAGTAAATGATATCAATGGTACACCGGTACGATTTGAATATTTCAAACCGATAACTGTTGGATATGCACCATTTGCAGCTTTTTCAATACGTATTCGTTCGATAACTTTTGGCACAGCAAAAACAAACGTAATTTTTCGATTAGTATCATTGGGAGTTGCACACCAACCTATGACAAACATCAATTGTCTTACTTTCTTTACAATACCTCCAAAAGGAATCCGATCAAATCACATTCGAATTTCTTGAAAATTCTTATTCTATTAAACTGATAAGATGACATTATCAGTTGATTATTTAATGTTGTTAGCTTTTTTTTTTTTCAAGAAAACCTCTTTTAATATCATATCTGATAAATAAATAATGTTACTAATAAAAGTAAAAAATAAAACGACACAAAAGAAATATGTACAGTGCTGTCAAATTGAATTCAAAAATTAACAAAATACAATATTGTTCTTCATTTTTATCTAAAACATTTAGGTTTCAAATTTTAACATTATCAAATTTTTAACTTTAATTTTAAAATTTTACCGGTTGTTGCATAATCTTTAGCATGAAAACCATCCATTTCGCTGCTTCCCTCAGCAGTAAGGGAATTTAAAACTGAAGCTGTATTACATGCTGAAATGATTATAATTATACTTCTGTGCCGGAGCAAATAATTATTTGAGAAATGAGAAATGAGAAATGAGAAATGAATATTTCAGGATAAGACAGTATAATTAATTAAGTCTTACATAATTGTGCTTGAAATCCGGAAAGGCATTGACAGTGATAACCACCCGGCATATTAATACATTTCGTACTCTGAACATTACAAATTGCTGATCCTTCCGCACATTCATCAATATCCTCACATTTCGGTACATCACTGAGTGTTTGATTTGCAAGACATTTCAAAGAATCAGCTCCAACTGTTCGAAAACCCGGTTGACATTCAACTCGAGCCAAATCACCAAATTCAAATCGTTCACCCGTTATCACAATACCATTGGTTATTAATGGTACATTAGTGCATGCTAATTCTACAATTAGTTAATAAATTTATATTTTTATCTCTTTTTTTCCAGCATTACTAAACATAATTCTAATTTCAATTCATTAAAAATATGACAGATAAAAATTAATGAATGTAATTGGTATTGAATTTTCTTTTGTACATTCAAAAAAGAAAATTGGATGATAAAAAAAAAAATTAGCCAATTTTTATTTTATTTCAATGTATAAATCTTTTTGGAATAATTGAAAATGCAAATTTATTTAATTATTATTTATAGGAAAATATTGGATAAGGCAAGAGAAATTATACTAGGCTATACTTTTTTCCCTTCTTATTTTTATGCCATATGCAGTTTTTAAATTTAAATTTTAACCTTTTTATGTCACTAAATAGAAAGGCAAAAAAATTTCATGCACATATTTTTATCATTTTCATCTTCAGTCTTTTTAATTGATTTTGCAAATTACAAAATTTTGATTTTAATTTCTTTCATATAAAGACAGACTTTTGCAGTACGGTTGAGCAAATGACCATTCCCCGGTGGAGAGACAGAGAAGTGTCGCAGCACCAATTCTTCGAAATCCAGCAATACATTCAAATCGAAATACAGTACCGTAACCAGTACCGTCTCCAAATTCTAATATTCTTTCACCATTCAAGAATGGTGCCAATGCAGGGCAAGTCATTGCTATAAATTTAAAAAATTAAAAAATAAATTCTAAAAAAAATTGCAATTAATTATTTATACTATTAAACTAAAAAAAGTCTTCCTAAAGTTGATACAATTTTTGAAATCAAATATTTTTGATTTCAAAAAAAAAAATGAAAATTGAATCATTAAAGCATTAAATTTTTTAAATTTGAAAATAATTTTGAGAAAAATTAATTGAAAATATTAACTGTTAAATGGATTTTAAGATATGTCATTAAACTTTTAAATATTCATATATTTTAATATATATTTTTTTTTTTTGGAAATGTTTTACCTTTACAGGACGGTGGTAAAGTCCATCGTCCTTCATCGGTGCAATAAATTTGACCTGATTCTTTACCGGTCGAAAAATCAAAACCATCATAACATGTATACTTTGCTGATCCACCGTATGAAACATTTGTTGCCGATGATGCAAATCCATTAGCAATTTGTGGAACAGCCGAACAATATACCGCTATAATTGAATTATTATTTTCTTTGCAAAAAATTTTTTTAACTTTAATTTTTTAATAATTTGGAAAAACATCTTGCAAGAAATTTTTGGTAATTAAAAAAGCAATCGATAATTCATATATTAATACGTTGACAATCTGGAATATGATCTTCAGTCCATTTTCCGCCTAATTGACAGGTTATATCGAACATTTGTCCACGTCCAGTACGAAATTCATAGCCACGAGGACATGATACGGTTACTTTTGTTCCAAATGCTGATGCTTTTGTTGATAATGATACAAATTTTGGTGTTTGCAATGGTGGACAGTCTATAAAATTAAAAAATTCAATCAATTTTGAAATAATTAACTTTTAATAAATTGTATGCAAATTTCTTCAAATGTCAAAATAATATAGAAGAATTAGTACTCGTCGAAAAAGTAATATTCCATCCGAGACCATTCCTGATTGAATTAGTAATGAAAACAATTTGAACAATTCCAGTCTGTGCAAAAATATTTTTCGGAGGTCGTGAAATAGCAGAAAAACCATCGCCCGGATGTAAAGCTCGACCACCTTCTATTTCTTCGAACATCTAAAAATATTTGATAAATTTTTAATTATTTATTCCAAAAAAAAGATGTAAATTTAAAAATCCATAAAATACGAAAAAAAAAAGAAAATTGATGCATCAATAAATTAAAATGAACCAATAAACGATCATCTTCTGCAACATCAAAACTATTAATAGCAAATGCTGTAGGCTGTTCCGAATTTCCATCCGGTAATTCTACAGTATAAATACATCTCTGAGAATTTGGATACGGTATTCGAGTATAACCAGGTGATGTTATAATTCCTTTATCTAGACGAATTCGATTTGTACATCCTGTAAAAGTTGAACATTTATTTTTTCTTTTGTTTTTGTAATTTTGGACCAATTCTTTTTTTATAAATTAAATAAAAAAACGATAAAAAACAAACTTTCTCAAAAAAAAAAATCTGATAATAAAGAAAACAAACCACGCTTATATGTTATGCTAAATCCACGTCCATTTCGAGCAAAATTTGAATAAAAATAAATATATAATTGTGATTGAGTTGAAATGATTAATTGAGGATTTGTGAATGTTCCGGTTAAACGTGTTAATACCGGTGCTAACGGTGTGCCACCATCATAAATTTGCAAGAAATCATTAACTTTTTCCAAATCAAATTCTTCTACCTGAAATAGCATTTTAGTGATTAATTCATAAAAATTTGAAAAATTTTTCAATGAAATTTCAAATTAAATGCTATCCATTAATTTTTGAATTAAATGTAGCTAATTTTTCCTCATCCATTTTTCGATTTGCAATATCTAACGCTTATCCAATTACTAATTAATTTATTTGCTACAGCATTAAGCTTTGCAATATTTTAAAAACTGTATTATTCAAACTTTTAGCTGATTAAATTTAAGTTAAATAATTAGCATTGAACAAACATCAAGTGAAATAAGTTGTCCTGACGGTGCATCAATCTTCCATACACATTCTACACCATTTTGATAATTCTTCGGATAATCTGGACTACTAAATATTTGTCCATATGGTTGAGCTTTTAAAATACCACCACATGAGACACTTGCTGAAAAAGTCATAAATATATTTTGGTACAATTTATCAATTAATTAAAGATAAATTAGTATATGAATAAGCTTACCGGCTCTCCAACTTGCTTCAAAACCACGTGCCTGAATTTGTGCATCACTGCTAAATCTTACAACCATTACATTTGTGCTTGAAATCAATGTTTCAGGTTTTTTTGATCCGGAAATGATAGCCATAACAACGGATGAATTCTCGGCTGGACCACCATCCAAAATTGTAACAAAATCTTCATATTCTTCCGTTTCGAATGCATCAAATGTTATCTGTGTATAATTTCAATGATATTTTTTTCCTCCAATTTAAAATTTTATTTGAGAGATCTGTTAGCATAGAGTTAAAATTTGCAATTAAAAAAATTCAATTTACAATTGATTTTGTAACAGTTTTCGATTTCAAACAAAAATTTATGAATTCCCCTTTTTCGTACTTTTTTCTTCTTGTTTTTGTTTTTAAACAAAGAGTTCCGGAATTTATTGAATCTAAACCAGCTTTTTTTTTTTTAATCATATTGTAAAAATAGGTTGGTTGAATTTGGAAATGGTGCATTTTACCAATTTCATAAATTAATTGCAATTTCTGATGAAATTTGTCCGATATAATATTTTATCATGATTTAAATTCAAAATAATAAATTTTATCAGTTTTAATCAGAATTTTCAGAGTATAAAATAAAATTTAACTTGTCCTAATATTATTAATTGGAAAATCTATAAATTGTGTAATGGAATGAATACATTAATAATGCAGATAGGCCATAATGACTCATATCCATTTATTATTACAACATACATGAATTCGAGAATTGATTGGTCCTTCGATGACCCAACGACAATTCGCATTGGCATTGTATGGTGACGGATAGTTTGGTGATTGTATTTTACCTGATTCACCTTTTTCATATTTCAAACATGTGATCACTTTCGGTGATGCTGTAACAAATCAGCTATCGTTTATTGTGTTTATTATCGATAATTTAAAAAAGAAAAATTCATAACTTTTAAAACATCTATCAATGTATATTATTTTAAACATATGAATATATCATATATGATTAATATATAAACTCGAGATAAATAATATTTCCAAGATAAGGAAGAAGAAGAAAAAAAAAGGTAAAATTCCATTAAAAATCAAGGTTGCAGATTGGAATTTCGACTGATTTGACAGCTTTAAACTGCATATGAAACAGGTAATAGTGAAAAATTTACCGGGACAATTGAATTCATCACTGTAATCACCGCAATCATTGACACCATCACAATGAACTGAATGTGATAAACATTTGCCATTTTGACAGAAAAATGAACCTAAAAAAGAAATTTGACTAATATATTTATATATATATTTTGTTAGCCATTTATGATAAAATTATCTCATTTAAATAAAATAAATTTTATTGATAAAAACTTTCAACAATTTATTATTGTTAAATTTAGACAAATTAGCGGGTTAAATTGATGAATGTATTTTAGGATCATTTCAGCAATTAATTTCTTGTTGATGATACAATTTTATATTTGACATATTGTTAATGTGTATTAGCACAATCGAAAAAGATCAATAAAATTGTTCCAGATAAATAATTATTCGACTGGTGTGCAGGATTATTAAATTTTCTATAATTGATACATGTTAGCATTTTCTCTTTTGTTTCTTCTTTTCTAAATTTCTTCTCTTTATTTTATACCATTCCTATCTTATTTTTCTTTAAAGAATTCATTTACTTAATAAATCATAAAAGAAATCGATAAATAATATAATCTTTATGAGAAATTTAAAATTTTGGAAAATTTA